TATATAATCTAATGAAAGGGGCGGCCAGACCTAATTCTGAGCTTCTCCCATTCTCTTCTATCTCTCATCTCTCTCTTTCTTAGCTGAAGCCTTTTCTCCTCTTTCTTTTCTTCTTTCTTTTACAGTTTTTATATCAAAACAGGTGTCCAAACTTTTCTACTTATACAATCAAATCAATGTTTGGTTATGCATGTAATCAAAAGCAAGAAATTCTTCTGATTTGCTAAGCAGCAAGAAATAGTAACAATAGCTTTATTGGAAAATAGAATACAAGCAACCAAAGAGTAGGGGAGGATGCCTGAACATGTTAAGTATCCATCTCATCACAATACAACACCAGGTACCTCATTTAACTTCAGAGTACCCCTTGTGGTGTCAATTTCCATCCCCACCCACCCATCTTTCAAGGGTTGGGTTAGTAATTTCACCCATGGATTGTTTGTGGGCATGAGATTTCTAACTTAAATTTGATGGATGCTCACAAGAATGGAGGTGTCTTCAGTGACAACAAAGGTATGAGAGTTCTAGCTTACTTTGGTCCAGCAGTGATACATGATTCAGCAAGAGCTGAGTTCCTTTGGTCTTCCAGCACCTCAGGTTGTTTTTCTCCTTGATCTTTGAGCTTATTGAGGGAAACACCCCAAATATTGGAGAGGTGAGAGAGATCCAGTGGGTCCATAGAAACCTAGTCCATCTCTTAATGATGCATGATCTCTGCCTTCCAAATGAGCCCCACATTCTACAAAGTTCCAGCCTCCACTAATCTGATAGCTAATGGATTTGCTACAAAGGGTATGAGTTTTAGTGTCCTTTGTGGGTAATAACCTTTACTGGCATAAGGGATGCATTCTGCATTACTATTTTTGTAGCCCCTTTGTTAGTGGTGTTAGTGAAGGGGTATTTCAGTCTTTATACTTGTTGAGAATGTTGATGTGTACTATTATGTTAATTCGAGTGCCTCTTACTTAAAGAAGGGCACTTAAGTCTTTTCCAATAAGTTAATAATATAATAACAGGTCTGGCCGAATCTAGGGATAATTTTTTCTCTAATTCGAACCAACCCTTCTCTCTTTTCTTTCTTCTTCTTTCATCTCCTACTTCTTGCTGTTTACTTTACTTTACAGTCAACGAACAAGACAGAATTCTAGGGCAGGTCAAACTTCAACACCCTTCTTCCTAAGGACCTCAACAACCATGGATTTGTCTTGTTAGAGTCACTGTGTGGTGTATCTTCTGCATTTCTCTTTATACATACAATTCCATGATTAAATATCAAGGAAAATTTGAATCTTAGAGGCACTTTTGTGGAAAAGAATCCAACCCAATTTCATATGCCTTTGCTTTGTAAAATGTGTCCATATCCCCAATTCTTCATTTTAAATTTTTCACCTTATGAGGGAACCATCAATATTTATCAGCAATTCATTCAGCAAGATCTACAAAGCCATTACACAAACCACATCCGTCCACAAGGGTTTATTATCAAACAAAAGATACTGAAGGGCACTTTCACTGCACCGTCTTAGCCATTAAGTCAGTGAGGGATGAGGAAGCCTCAAGCATTTAGAATTGGAGCTTCCACCACTCCCTTATTTTCTAACAAAACCTCCACAGTCACATGCAAAGTCTAAAGAAAAGTATAATATATACTGCTGGAGCAGAAGGATTCCTCAGACCAAGGATGAGATGCAAGACCTGCTCAACACCAATTTCTTGTATGGGCAAAGAGGTCCTATTTCCAGCCTTCAGAAATGCCCACTGTAACTTTCAATTGGTGGTTTAGTGTACAAAAGGACAAGTGATAATGCAACCAAAGTTGGACAACTTCAGTAAGTCTAGCAAGCCCAACAGAGATTTCACACATGTTGCTGTTTACAACCAAAACCAATTTGGATTGATTTTGTTTTGTTTTTTCGATCAGAAATAAGAGATTTTATTTTTCATGATACAAACAATCATGCTACTCTTATCAGAACTCGCCTGTTCCTTATCAAGCATTGTCCATGGGTATCCCCTGAACCACTAACAAAGGACTCACCTCCCCAAATTTCACTTTCAGTTGGTTGCCAAGCATACATAACAAATAGAACAAACATGCATGCCCTCAATAGAGTGGAATAGTAAAATTGGATTCATTTGTGATAAATCAACTTCAATTATATAGATGAAAGAGCTGGAAACTGTAGCTTAGTCCTATAGGGGGGCTATAAGAAGATTCAGAAACTTAAATACTAATAATAACAGTCAGAGTTCAATGGGAAAGAAGATCAGCAAATGGATGGCAGATTTTCTAGCCAAACAAGAGGTATATAGGAATCAGTTCTTTTGGGCTCAACCGTAAGCTGTGTGATATAGTTTAGAGGTGGCATCTCGCACCTCATTGTGGGGAGTCTGTTCTATGTAACCTTGTGACTTTTAATTAATAAAATTATATTACTTATCAAAAAAAAAATCAATTATATAGCTCAATTGGCTAATGCTATAGCAACCTGGCAGGGTCATGTCCATATTAACAAAATTTACATGTTCTATAAGTGCTCCAGCTACCTAGGTGGTCATGTCTATGTTAACAAAATTTTGTATCCAAGTAACATTCAGTCACACAACTCATGAACGTTCAATAGAAAATAAACAAGTTCCATTTTATCATTGGGTTGCATGGAAATCACAGAACCATCTAAGTGAAGTATATAAACAAAAAATGCTATGGAGAAAAAGTCACCTGGATCTTTCTCTGATGGCTTTAGAATAAAGGTATTTCCACATGACACAGCCATTGGGAACATCTGTAGATATCATAAAACTGATAACTATAACAAGTTTTTCCAGGTAACAAGAAAAAAAATTCTCAATTACTACCATATTTATGTCATTATCATCATCATCTAAGCCTTATCCCAACTATATGGGATTGGCTACATGAATCCTATTTTGAATCATTTCTTACTATTCACCATATTGATGTCATCTGTGTGATAAACAAAAGTAGTTTACAAATGTTTCCATATACTATAGCAAAGAAACAGTTTCAATTCCAGCCTAAGCTAGTATTTAGTCCCCTTCCCCTCATATTAGAGGACAGCGTTAAACACCTAAATATGCAATAACATACTTACGTATCACAAAATACCAAATTACCAATTGAGCCATGCTCTTGATTGTAGTTATCTAATTATCATTAAAAAGAAAAAATAAGATAGAAGGTAAAAGGCAAAAAAAAAATCATAACCATACCCATAATGGAATCATTGCTGGAAAGTTAAAGGAGCATATCCCAGCACAAACACCAAGTGGTTCCCTAATGCTGTATGTGTCAATTCCATTTGACCCATTGGAGACAAACTCCCCCATCTGCAAAGTTGCCATTCCACAAGTTTGTTCTACCACCTCTGTCAAAGAAAATTAAAGAATCCATAGACAGCCATCCATCAAAAGTTAAAACCTGAACTTGAATTCTAATAAATCAATCTTCTCAAACCTAAAGCTACCAAACCAATAAACAAGAGCCAACAAAACACCAAATAATCTATACTTTACCTTCTCTCAAAAAAAGTGCACTTACCTAACCCACAAAGCACATCATCACGGGCATCTTTCAGAGTCTTTCCATGTTCAACAGTAATAATCATGGCAAGCTTATCCTGTAGACAATTATATTGGTTCACATGTACTAATGGTATAAACTTTCTAGAAATGGGGAAAATATATAATATAAAAATTCATATGTTGTACTTACAATGTCTCTTCGGATGAGCTCTTGAAGCTTGAACATAATGCACTGCCGGGTAGCAATGGGTGTTTTTTTCCATGAAGGAAAAGCCTGTTTTGCTGCAGTTACTGCAGCTTTGAACTCTTCCTTGGTAGTCAAGGGAACTAGAGAAACCATCTCTTGTGTTACCTAGTATTAATGGATCAAAAAAAAATTATTGGAAAGAAAAAGGAAAAAACACTATTACAACAAGAAAAAAAAATGAGGTTAGAAATTTGATGGCATTCTAGTCTTACAGGATCTATAACAGCAACGGAAGCAGTTGCTTTTGATTCCACAAATTCTCCTCCAATAAAATTGCGGACCCTTGGCTACAATCAAGTTAAGGACAAACATAAAAGAAAAATCAAACATCACATCCTTATATTAAGGTTGATTAGCATCCCAATAATGACACATTATACATGACAGAAATTGTGTAGATTAAATTCAAGCAAGGCAAAAGCGTAGTAGGTTATATTGTTTTCATGTCTGGGGACCAAATTCAAGCAAGACAAAAACCTAGTATTTTCATATTTGAATATACCGGAGGGTATATGCGGCTTGGAGATGCCTCCATGGATTCTGAGGAATGTGAAATTCCAAGAGCAGAAGTTGAATGCCTGCATTGTTTTAAGCTTTCCACTGCAAAAAGACATTTCTTATTGACTGCACAAGATTTAGAAGAAAAAAAATATTGCAACAATGAAAAAGGTTTTCCAGAGATTGTAGGGTTTCCAACCAGACATTTCTCCAATTGCTCATGCAAATCCAATGGATTGTCAAGATCCCACTACATTCAGTAGTCAGTACTTGCTCCACTTTCCATATTTATAATTTATATGCCATTATGGAACATTTTTTTATGAGTCATTATGGACTAGTTGCACACAAAAACATAATTATAGAATATTTTCCATTGGGAAGCAATTGAACTGAAAGGCCAGGATTGTGTATTGCAGTCTAATTGAGCCATCATATGGTAACCAAGTTACCTAAGCACAATTGATACCAACTGCATTTCAATTTAACCATTTAGACAGTTGGTGGCTAAAGGAAGACATTTGCAATAATCTTTTATGGTAAATTACAAACAGCCGCCCTGTGCTTAAGGAGGTGGTAACACTTAGCCCCCCAAAATTCCAAATTCCAGCACCTTGCCCCGACCCACTAACAGGGTTGAAGGTGAAAGTATGTTTTTTCTTTTTTTGATAATTTGTATGGATTGTATTAATATCAAGAAAAGGAGGGCAAGAAACCCTCAAAACATATAAAAAATGTGTGCCTGTATGTATAGATAGATCATGTACATTCAGATCCTATACAAGAACGACACTCCAGATCCTATACAAGAACGACACAAAAAATGATGGACAGCCAGTGGTCATTAAAGAAATTAAATTGCCCATTCAAGCTTCTATGGGCTGACAAAAATATCAAGATTACGAGAATAATCATTCTAAACCACCAATCATTCTCAATGTGTTCTCAAAATGAACTTTGTTGAAAGAAAGTTCAGAGAAACATGTGTTAGGATTTTAGAAAAAACTAAGTCAAAAGGGCAAAATGGTATCATAAAATGACATAAGGGTAGTTTGGTGTTTTAGAAACATCTAGAGGAAAATTCTATGAAGTTAACTGGTGGAATGCTAGTGGTGGGGGAAAACCGGAAAAGTGCTAAACTATGGAAGTTCAGGGGGAGGGGTCTTTGTCAACAAACAAAGTTTGGGGGGCTAAGTGTCACTACCCCCTAAATACAGAGTGGCTTTCTGTAATTTACCCAATTTTTTTATCAGTAACAATAATTATATTGAGATAGAAAATATATATATAATGCAGCATGCTCTCAAAGATATTTGGAGGACAGAAACAACTCAAAACAGCCATTTACTGAGAGTAATAAATTATCTGACAAAAATAGATTCTACATAATCTTAAGCTTAAGTTAAAAACATAAAGGTTTAGTACATGTTTCTAGCACTTATATATGCCATAGTCTAAAAGCTCAAATATCTTGATTTGTGAACATTTTCATAACTAATTCTTAATGCCAAGAGATTGCCTAGACATCCTGACCAAAGATAGGCCCATTTATTGTCAGACGCAACTTTTTTTCTAAAGATAAAAGCAATAATATTGTTTCAAACTTTCTACCACTTGCTGAGGGAACCTCTCCCTCCTTTTTGATTTATTTAATAGAATATAATTTCATCTTTCAAAAATATACACAATAATTTCATGAGTCCTATCCTTATTTCTCTAATTTAGTAAATAAAAAAAGGGTCATTGCACAAGCATAGACCCACTCATATATACAATAATCTAAGGAGGATTTTGGGTTAATTTGTGGGAAGCTGTAGATCTTTGTAAATTTTTTTCTTAAGGCTATTTTCTTTTGGGTGGGGGGGCTTATTGTTAAGGGATGTATTATTTTTATTTTTGGTGAAAGCACTTCACCAAAAGATGTACTCTTCGTTTAATGAAATTTTCCTTTACAAGAAAGACCCATCGTGACAGGCCAAAGTTTTTCTTTTATCAGCAAAAGAGAATTTTATTTGAAATTAGGGTTAAAATAAAGTTTTACAGCTTTGTGTATGGGATTAATGCTCCCACGCTATTACATATTTCTGTCCCCCTTTACATTGCAGCCCAAAACAATTGTTGCCTCAAAGCCCCTTGTTTAGTAAGATAATCAGCTAGCCCATTTGCACTCCTTCTAACCCATTTGAATTCAGCCTCTACCTCCCTTGCAACCTTTTCCACTTCCCTTATCACTTGTTTGAATGTCCACAGAATACTTCTATTGTTTTTAGCCCAAGAGATGATCACCTTGACAGGCCAAAGTTCCCTAGCCTTGATTATCCTCATACACAGTTTACAATCATTGACACTACTTTTTCAGTTCATTTGACATGTAACCCTAGCTCTGGAGTTCACTTTATTCTATCAAGCTCAAGAGAAAAGACTACCCCAATTTTGGTTTTTGCATGGAGCCTACAACATTGATTATAAGCCCAACAACTATCCCATCATGAATGATGAAACTACATATTTAGCGACAGAAAAGGACCATTATTTTAGATATGGTACATTAATGACTTGATATCATAACTCCACAAGGTTTGCTACTTCAGTACTTGTGGAAGTGGAAAGCCAAATGTAAGGTCATGTGGTCACTCAAATGAACATGTGAGGGGAGGTTTGTCATGTGATGGTAGACCAATTTGTTGATCTATCATCGTCTACCTTTCCGCAAACTCTGGTTCATCGTAAGATTTGGTGAGGCAAAGGTGGGAGATTTGAAAAGGGTTTGCTTTTGAAAGCATTAAAGGGAAGAAAGAGCTACATTCAAGAGGCCATATGCAAGAAACAATAGAGATCGGGAAATACTTGAGACCTGATGCATTGAAAGGCAAGTCACCTTCAGAGGGGAATTGCTCAGGTATTGCATCAAAGGTTGCATCTCCTGGTCAGGTTTTGTCCTTGGGAAAAAAAGAAGTTCAGACGTCAAAATATTTTAAGTCAGCATCTTCTGGAGTTTTGGAAGATGCCATAATAGTTGAAGAACAGATTAGATTATCAAAAGGAGCTTCAGCGTGCTCTGGAAGGTAGTGGTGTGAAATCGCAGTTGGTTTTCGTTGAAATTTTAGAAGAAACAGCAAAGGAAGATGAGCTGGAAAGGGATTCTTCTTCACACTGTGTCATTGATGTGCTTCCGACTGTTGAGAGATTTGATTCAGAGACGATAAAGCAAGAAGTTGGTATTGATAATTCAAGGAAGAGGAAGGTTAGTGCTGACAGTACTCATATTCAGAAGGAGATTGGTTATGCTCATGCCTTAGACTAACTTGTCAGAGCTGGAAATTGTAGGCAATGAGGTGATCGGGGGAATGAAACTGAAAAATCCAAGGATTTTAAGAGCCCATGTTGGGAAGTGGAGATGGTGGAACATGGTTCTGTTTCCCATGTGTTTATTGGAAAACTGGGAGTGGATTTAGGGAGGAAAAGAGATAAAATAAGATAGCATGATCTAAAAAGGATGATAGTGCTGTGGTATGTGTGAAAAACCAAAGGGTCCAAATAGCGGTCATTTAGTCCATGTTACCGAAGTGTTCCACTAGCTGAAGGAAGGTCTTTATGGGGTTGGCTCTTGTAGTAAGTACAAAAGTACTTATAAGAGGAAGGGGGTATAGAACAGAAATAGAAATCGAAACCTCATAAGTAGCAGCAGTGATACAGATTTGGCGAAGGGAGAGGTTGAGAAGAAGACTAGACATTCCTCTGGTACACAAAAAGATGTATTGTTAGAGAGGAGGTATTGCCAGGAACTGAGTTGGAAATAGAAGAAGAGAAGATGGATGATGAGGAAGAGGAAAAGATAATGGAAATTAAAGTCCAAGTGAGCAAATTATCGGGGGNGGGGGGGGGTTATGTTAGGAGGGGAAGAGTTGCAAGAAAATGTTTTGGGATTTGGAAAAGAAGTATCCTGTGAGTGAGGAAAGCTCTGACGGGGAGTCTTGAGTAATGGAAGGCTGCTTACAGAGTCAAATTTTGAATCAAAGATTTAGGGGGTGAGCTTTTTCAGGGTTCAAAGTTTTTCTAGGTCTTGGTAGAATAGTTTATGAAAGATGTATTCTAAGGGGTCTTGGAAGTTTTTGATGTTATGGGCTTTGAGTTTTTCTTTTTCTCTTGTGGGTGATAGCTTATCACCTTTTTTCTTTAATATAGTTTTCTTTTCTATTTATTACTAAAAAATATAATCCATAACAAGGAGATTGAGCATGTTGCCCATAGAATTAGAATGGGTTGGGCATTGGCAAAATGGAAAGTGCATCTGGAATCCTATGTAGCAGAAGACCACTTAGGCCAAAAGGAAATTTTCATAAAATAGTTGTAAGGTAAGTGATGCTGTATCGAAAATGAATGTGGCAGAAACATGCTGTTGAGATGGATAAGTGGAAAAACTAAAAAATGATAGGATCAAAAATATAGCATATTCTTAGGAACTTAGAAGTATATCCAATAGGTGGTAAAATGAGGGAAAGTAGGCTAAGATGGTTTGGGCACATGCAGAGAAGACCATCTACAGCACCAGTAAGAATTCATCTGTTACAAGTTGAAGGGTCTAAAAGACTAGCGGCAAAAACAAAAGGTCATGGATTGAAGCAGTGAGAAATGATAAGGAGGACCAGGGTAAAACTGAATTGGGAGTTCATCCTCCTCATCTCCTACTATTCATGATAGTTGGGTCCCTTCTTTACAGAACAGGGTAAAACTGAATTTTGATGGCAGTTCTATAGGTAACCCTGGTCCCTCTGGAATTGGGGGTGTTTTTAGAGATGTGGAAGGAAGAATTTTGGCTCTTTTCTCTAGACCAATTGGGCTGGGCGATTCACTTATGGTGGAGGTATTTTCACTATTGCAAGGGCTCAGGTTGGCAAAACAAATGGGTTTTCAGCAGCTGGAAGTGGAGAGAGATTCAAAACTGGTTATAGGCTGGATGCAAACAAACAGGTTAGGCACCTGGACTCTTAGATAAACTGTAAGGGAAATTTGGAACCTGACAAGGGAGCTTAGAGTACAGTCCAAATGGGCTAGAAGATCAGCAAATGCCTTGGCAGATGCTTTAAAAAAAGCAAGGGGTTAATAGGGAAACTTTATTTTGGGCATGTCTGTAAGACTGTTGTGATGTGGGGTTCACCTTTTAAAGGTGAACTATCTTTTAAAATTTAATGAAAGTTACCGCTTCCAATCAAAAAAAGAAAACTATGGATATGGCATTGAATAGTAGCATGGTGGAAGAGGACTTATATAGCCAATCCCATATGGTTGGAACAAGGCCTAGTTAAGACTTGAAATGCTACCATATTTCAGTAGAATTATGTGTTTCTTATTTTGTGGATCTAACATCTGAACAGATACAATTGAAATTTAACTGAGATTTATCTAAGTTTTATCAGAATTTCAACTAGGAGAGTTTAACCATGGTTGCCATGAAAATGAAAATTCAGTCTCACTGGAAATTTAAAACCTACACTATTGGGTACCATAGGATTGTAAGAAATCTTCATACTCAATTCAGTTTGAACTTTACAACATATACTGTCTCAAAAGGATGTTCCTAATCAAGTTTTATTCAGCAAGATCGCAACCAGGCCTTAGTTTCAGGCCAGCTCTCTTAACAATCTGGAATTAGAAACTAGCCTGGTCAGAGCTTATTCCATCAGCCCCTTCTTTGACATTGCAAATTATAATCATGGTTTTCTTCTTCCACTACACTACTTTATTTGCACATTTCCTTGTCTTCCCTACCTCTCATGTGTAAACCCTTCATAACATTAGACTAGCCCTATTTGAGGTGGTCTTATCCTTGAGCTAAGGCCTTGAGCAATTGTCAGCCCAAGCATGTATGATATAAGTTTTACTGCACACAGACAGACATACTAATAGAACTACAAACCCTTCCTTGATTTTCAGATTTTCCAATCTTTAATAAATCCCTCATTATTGATTCACAAAAGAGGAAGAACCTCTGGGATTTGGGTTTGACCTGATAGATTCCCTTTACGGATCTTAGCTTTGATGTTGTAAACATGCCTTGATCTTGATAAAAGCCTTGGATTGTTTTGCCCAAGTACACTGAGGATTTGACGTGGTTTTATACCAGCTTCAGTCATTTCAACAATCTGTAACACCTCTTTCTCTGAAAAACGACAAAAAGAAGGATGGTCGGAAATATCTCTTAAAGGTTCATGATTGTGTTCCTCATTTTTTATCGTGAGTATCCACAAGTTATTTTGCCTTTTACCCACAACTTCGAAAGGACAATTTATTAGGCGAGAGGTTACTGTTCTTTTACGAATATTTTCAGTCTTCCGCCTTCTACGATAAACACCTCCTCTATCACAACCAAGGATTACAGTCTTCTCCTTCCTAGAATTCTTAATGGTTACCACATATCCTTGGGTCACACCAAAGTCGCGAACATGTTTGATAAGCTCTTCACGATTCTGAAAGGTTCCAGCTGGTGGTGGAAGCATCTTGGTTTGCTCATTGGGCTCCTCACAACTTTGAGTCTCCATCACAGTGAAGTAAGACCTAAATAAGAACATAATAAGATATAAATTTAATAGAGGGGAAAAAAGACCAAATAGCTAGACAAGAAAGAAGAGAATCCAAAGTAAGAAGCATACAATCAATGCCCTTAATAGCAGTGTTATTTGAGGTTTTAAACATTTCACTGGATTTTCTACCATTCAGATTTATTTTTAAGGTGTGGGGGTTTCAGGAATTTCACTCTAACCTGGAAAATCTATGAGAATTGATGGAAGATTGAAGGAGGATTTGGAAAACATAGAATTTATTAAGTTAGAAACTCAAGGGAGTTTACAAGTTTTAGCCATATAGTTAAAAAAAAAATGCTGACCCAAGATATCTAGGGTCTTGGGAGGGGTATAATGGGCATGGTCCTAACCTTTGGCTTTTTTTTTTTGCACAAAGTGGCCACCCTCAAACTTGAACCCATTTTCTCAACGTGCCAGCCTGAGTTTGCCATTACACCAAGTAATGACCAATGTTAAAACAAGGAAGTGTGATGTGAGATGTTCCACTACGCACTACCTAGAAGCGTGAGGCATAGTTCAGAACGCTAGAGGCATAAGCCTCCTGAGCAGATATCTTGTATTAAGAAGGATATCTTATATTAAGAAGAATGAAGGTGCATAACACTAGCTGAAAGGAGGGGTCCTGTCTAAGTGGGAGTGAGAATAATTTTTGTTTTAGGCTTGTATTAACATGAAATCATAGTTTTTAAGGTGCCAAGGTGAGGCTAGGTGACAAGGGGACACCTTGTCACCTAGGCGATGGATTTCTAGTAAAAGACATATATCCTATGGTAGTTCCATAACCATATTTCCTTCATAATTACCCATAGTTTTCATAAGTATAAACTTCATATTAAAATATAGAAAATCAACATATTCATGAGACGAAAAAGAAGAAAGAAAAGAAAATTCAAAAAATATAGGGGCTGAACCCCTATTTCTGTTATAGGAAAAGAAGAAAATAAAAGGTGGAGGAAGAAGAAAATGTGTTGATTAGACAAAATTTTTAAGTTCTTCCTAACTTATTGGTTCAGGTTTTGAAGTCTTTGAGGGTTCAATACAGCATTTAGCAATGTCTATGTTGGTTAAACCCTAACAAGTAAGTAAATAATAAAAAGAAATTAGTATATAAACACACAAAACTAATATGTTAGTTTAATAATGTCTATTTTATAATTATAATCTCAAAAAATTAAGAATATAAAAATATTTTATAACATAATGTACAAAACTGCTTGGCGATTACACAAAATTAAGATACAACACCAGAGTATGGCCAGATCCTGATAGTGCACGATCAAGGGTCAGCCGAAGAGACAAAGGTACTGGCAGTAATGATTGACATTTTGGAAATTGTGAGCACCATATTTTCCCACCTTCTTATAATCATTATGAGGGCCTACTTAGACCAAGGGCGAGGTTTGGAAGCAGCGGAGGGGACTCTTCCATGACACAAAGGCTCTACATCACCACAAAGCCACGAGCTCTGGCATGAAATAAGCTTCACATTAATGAAACCTCATTAATGAGGTACAGGAAGAGGCATGACAAGGGGAATAAGGGTCTCCATCATGTGACACCTGGACTATTGATGTGATGCCGCAAATAGGAGATAAGATTTGAGGCACCTAATTGATGGATTCATGATGATAGCTGAATCATCTGATGTTCCATAAGTGGACCTCTCTCCGTTGAAGAGGATTATAAATACCTCTCAAGTAGTCTCAACTACCAGCATTAAGGACAAGGAGGAACAAACAAAGAAGCTCCATTAGCTCTCTTAATGAAACTCGCCCTCAAGTCTCTCCCCAGTTCACAACCCAACCCTTATATTCTAGTAGGCCACTCAGTACTTGAAAAGGCATCAGAGCCATCTTCTTGCAGAAGCTTCCCCATATAGTCACAAGCACCGTTGGAAGTTCGCACTAGCCTGCAGATCGCGACATATACCATGTGTAGATCAAAGGACCCAACTCTGTTTCTTCTAATTCAATAATATTACTTTACCTGTATCCAAAAAAAAAAAAAACAAAAAAGGAACTTGAAAAACAATGGCATGAAGACGCCACTATAAAATTCCTCTCTACCAACCCATCTTTTGCCAATGAAGCAGCTATAGCATTACATTCTCAAACAACCCATCTCAATGAAATTGGATATAACAAGACTAAAAATCTTCTCTGTAATGCAAAGAATCTCAGTAGCTCAGTAGCTCAGTAGCTCAGTAGCTCAGTAGCTCCAGGCCTCTTGTTTAACCCATCTAACGTTATTGCTTGTGTGGCTTTAATTAATAGAGACTTGAACCCCTTGTTGGAAGGACATTTCTTCAACTTTTTTTTTGGTGATACGTATGCCATTTCTTCAGCTTCATCAGATAAGATTCTTCCTCCAACCCACAAAAAACTCCAAGTACTGGAACCATCTTGACATCTAAAACCACTTCCAGCTTCCCGAGTCAGGGGTTTTCAAGTGATCTAGCAGAATAAACTCACTGAAATGAGTTGTGCACTGTTCAGTTGGTAGACTAATTAAGAAGTTATCAAAAAAAGTCGTACTTAATTCAAATCTGAGAAAAAAAGAAGCCGTACTTAATCAAGTTTTAAAAAAAAAAGCGTACAGGTACTTTCCTCGTTACTATTTTGTTCAATCTGTTGTTTTCTTTGCTTTTTGTTCTTTACATGAAAAATATATTTTTGTTCTTCTATGTTATAAAAGCAGCACTATTAGTAGAATTTAAGTAACCCCCTCCTGTAATTAAATTACACATACAACTTCTTAACTGTACAACTCTATTAACGAGCTTTTGTTCTCTTCGCTTGTCGGAGACCAAAAACAAATAAAGTGAACACCACACGCGAAGAACTGAGCATTAGATGGATCAATACTTGGACAGGTGGAATTAACAAAGGAAATGGGATAACAATAACTGAAAAAATTAGTGTAAGCAGTGACTACAAAAAACGAACCTCCTGGCTCCTGTTAATAGAAGAAAAAAGCCCTAATTGATTCACTTACTCTTCTTTTCCTTCTCTGTCACAAATGTCAATGCATCTCTAGGATTGGGGCCATACCTTTTGTTGAAGGATCAGTACACACTCCCCCGCAGGAAACCCTTGTTACTTAGTTTCGCCAACTCTGCGGAGACGATTTACGTTCCCTTGCTTCACTTGTGAGGTCATAGAGACTAGAGAAAGAGGAAGAAAAAGCAAGTTACGGTGAGAAGTTGAAAGCTTCGAGATCGAGCTTGATGCTTCAGAGTTCAAAGTAGGCGTTTAACGTCAGCTTTGAGCTGGAGACCGTAACACTGGATCCTACGAAGTTGTCTGTCTTGTCCCATGGAAAAATGAAAAGCCGGGTTGTAAAACCATGGTTTTACGTTTCCGAAATTTCGGTCGTTTCAGACCCTGTGTCGGAAGGTATGGCTAGCAGCTAGCTTGCTGGTTGTAACTTGTAGCACAGTTGAGAACATGAGATCGAATCCTGACTTTATCTGGTTTTAGGGAGCGGAGTGGGTTGTGTTGTGACAGCGGTGATCATTTTCAAGATTGGGCCTGATGAGACCAAGACTTTAAGCCTAACATATTTAGAGTCGTGAGTGAGAAGTCCAACCTAGGCCCATTGGGCCTAGGCTGGGGGGCCGTGCCCGAATCCAAGTGGTGCCCATTTTCATGGGTGCTAACTGCTAAGCCCATTTCAGACCTGGACCGGCCCATGTTCAACCCTAGTTCTTGGTGTTTGGGTGAAGGACTACCCTAGTTGTGTATAGGGATGCAATTTTGGTCAGGTTGAACCAAACTGAAAATTAGGATTGGGATAAAGTTCAGGTTAGGGTTAGAGTTGAAAAATCGAACCTGACTTAACTTCATATTTGGATGTATAAAGATTATATAAATGTGTATTTATGCATATAAATACTATATGTTTTCACTATTCATGCATATATGTGTATGCAACTATGCATCTATAGATGCTTATTTATGTATTTTTTTGCTTCAAGTATTTATGTATATACTATATATGTATTTATTTAGCTATGCGTGTATGCATATATATTGTATGTCATAAAATCAATATATATCATGGTTTTTAAAAACGAACCGATGATCGAACCGGTCAGGGGTTCGGTTATTGGTTCAAACGGTCCAATTGTTCGATTCGAACGATTGGCCTATTCTGACAAAAAAAATTAAAAAAAAAAATTGAAAAGCGTTAGAACGGTTAACTAGGCAGTTCAACAGTTTGCTGACCAAAATCAATGATTTTGAGAAAAAAACAGTTTTGAAGGAAAACGGAACCCGTCAGGTGACTGGTTCCTAATTTTTCCGGTCAGACCGTCTGGTCCGATCTGGTTTTGAAAACAGTGTATATATATAATAACGAAATGGGTGTTTTCACCGCGCAAAATGGAATCTGTTCGTGCGAATAGATTAATGGTCGCACGTGAGAGAAATCCGACACATGCGAATTCTTTCTTTCCTCTCCATATCCAGAGTCTTCCCCTCCTTTTCCAATGTCTTCGTGGGGCCTTTTCTATACGACACATTTCTCCCTCTCTTCCTCTCTCTCCTACCCTTCTTTCTCTCATAGTCATCCTACTGCTCCCCACCCCGTTCTCTCTCTTGCAGAAAAACCCTCCCTCTCCCTCACCAGAAGAATCATAGGTTGCCTCTCTCTCTCTCTCTTATTTGAAGCAAAACCTAAGACATACATAGGCCCTCTGTCTCAATGCAAAACTGAGTGGGACGGTTTGTGCGTGCCTATTGTATTTTGTAGGATATAAACTTTTGGAGATCAATTTATACCACTTCTTTTGCTATCCTCACCTCAAAAAGAGTAAAGGCAAGATCATCACCAATGCTTCATCTTCGGGCTGGTTGATATCACCAGCATTGAGTTTATATGGTGTAAGAAAATCTTACCAAGACGATTTCTATTCCTTAATTATATTTGCACCACCAATTCATGTATTGTGGAGTGTACATGTATGAGAATCATTTACTTGGTTGGTTGAGCTCATGAAGGTTTACAAAAATTGTATATTCTACAATTATAGTAGTTTTATTGTGCTGAAAAATCATTTGAGTTGTTTTGATGAATATCTTAGTAGGTGATAAAAGAGGAAGCATTTATCCAATATTAGTTCAAACATTGATGTTAATAAAAACAAAATTGTAGTTTCTAGCTGCAAAGCTTATATACCATATTTGCTATTTTTCTTCCCACAAATTGGTGGCATCTCTGTTTTCATGGCGTCTCTTATATGCATCTCACATATCCTCTGTTTTTTTTTTGTCAGTTTTTGAGATGTGGTAGTTCTTCTTTTTTTGTTTTTTATTTTTTGCTATTGAAGGGTTTGCTTTTGCAGTAATCTCCCCACCATGCAAGTGAAGACGTATGATTTGTTGATTGTTGCAGTAGATGGTGAGTAAAATATCTGTGTCGTTGTGTGGTGGGTAGTTTGCGTGTGCATTGACATGTATGAATGTGATAGAAGAGAGAGTGAGAGACTGTCACTTTGCTTTTTTAGCATGCACTGGACATGCAATTCTTTGATTGAGAAGTTAATTTTAAGAATTTGCACTCTTTTGTACTTTAGATGTTGTTAGCTGCATTCATAAAGTCATGGTTTTAGTAGATAGTGTTGTTTTTATTATGAATCAGACAATATTTGTTGTTACATGACGAATTACACAAACTGAGTTTTGAAGAGTTCATGGCAGTTTAGACATATTTCAAGAGGGCCTGATATAGATAGGCCAAAAGCTTGGCAAGTGCCTTTTAGGGTAAACAATCTCCTGGGGTGTAGAACTTGAAAAGGAATATTGGGTGAGGCAGCAAGTCATCCTAACGGATTGCTTGGGATTCATGGCACATTTTTCCATTGTAAATATACCATATTTTTTATCATCAATTTATAAAATATGACAAGTTACCAATAAAATAAAAAAAAAAGGATCCATTCTTCTCTTGGCTCTTATCCACACAAAGAGTGTTATAATTTCTCTCCATCCTTTATAACATTTTGGGCTTAAAAATATTTCTCCTTTGTGTAATGCAGGAACCTTTGGGATACGTGAACATCAATCTTACTGATGTTGTGAACAATGGACGCACCAATGAGAAATACCATATGATCAATTCAAAGAATGGAGTGATACACATGGAGATGCAAATTCCTCATTTTTGAGTGGTTTGTCTATAGACATTTCCAATTTATTTCTGTTATAAATGGGCTAGTTTGCAGGTATTCTTAATGGTATCTAAAGTCCGAATCAGTGAGAAAATATTCAAGTTCATAGTTAGGGAAAGGTGGATGAGAAAAAAGAAAATGGAAACAAAGTTGAATTGACAAGGTGGGGAGGCTGTTGTAAATCTTCAGTCCTATTGAGTTGCTTAATAAGCAGGGTCCTTGCAAATTATTAGGTGGTGGTGTCTCTATGAATTGCAATTAGTTTGAGAAGAGTGCTAACTTGATGGGTTCTCATACTTCATTAAATCAAAGCTCATTATTAATGCATATGATGACATCAAGAGCAGATGGAACTGCCTGCCAGCTCAGGGTGCATTCTCCAAAGGAACAAATAAATGTATATTGTGTTTTATTTATCTTACTTGAGTTCTCACAACTTAACATTTGATCATCTTCTGTGCCATCATTCGCTTCTCTATCCTTTTTTCCTAATCAATATTTAACATAAGTGCTAATTTTGTTCTCTTTCATCCAGTATTGTTGTTGTTTCTATAATTGGTTTCATTTTAATTTTTTTATCATACAGATTTCTGAGTTTCATCCATGACCAGATATGTGTTGTAAAGCTTATTCCATGTGATCAGAAATCTAAAGCTATTGAATCATTTTCTTGTTTAACACTCGAGGCTTCTACCCTTTTGAATGCATCTTGAGCTGACTTGTGAATATATATATATATATATATATATATATATATATATATATATATATATATTTGGATTAATAGCTGATTTTTGAATATTTTCTGTTAGAAAAATTACCCGTTGGGTAGGACCCGGATTGTGGCCCATCATGGTGGCCACCTTCCAGATTGAATTGGTCCAAATCCAATCACCCTAATGGCTTCTCCATTAAAGTGACTATAGACACGGAAAAGGAAATAAAAACAAAACGCAAACAGGCTAGAAATTAGGCTTAGGCTATCTACATCATATAATTGCTCATAATACAATTGCAAACACATGCATCTCAGACCTTTCTAAGATCTGACATAACTAACCTTAACCAAGAGTTAAAACTTATAATCAAAATGCCCCATGTGCCATCAAGGAAATGAGGTTGTTGATTGCATGCATTATGCGTGTAGTCTTTTGTTTAGACCAATTGCAACCTCTTTCAAAACTCGACCCAAATTTGTATTTGTTGATTCTTATATATAAGCTTTTCATTAGGCTGCCTTTGATTGTAGTGTAAATCTTGATCAAGTGTAAAATTTCAACCAATTCAGTTTTGGTTTTTTGTTTGTAATCATGATTGTGTTCTTATCTGATATAAAATTTGTACTTTTTGTTTCTTTTGCATTTATTAGTAGTGCAAATTTTGCATCTCAAAAGTTGACGCAAAATTTGCACCACCTCCCTCCCTTCAATTATTTCTTGTATAAAGCAAGGGAATCCATCATCCTGCATCCTAATTTATTCGGTCTACTTTATCCCAAGACGGATAACCCTCCTCCTTCCACTCTTTAGGTAATTTCATTTTACTTCTCACAAACAAACAAATATGACAACGTAAAATATGAAACAAAATAAACCAAAATACCAGGCCCCTTTGAAACATTCATTTACACCATTTGCAACAGTGCAAATGAAATTTGTACTACAATGATATGCATAAACTTGTACTAAAAGGTTAGTGAGGTGGTCCTACACATATGGTTACTTGCCCATGCTTCGCATAAAATGGGCCATCCTTTGACTAGCTACACCAGACCACCATTCGAAAAATCTCTCTCTCTCTCTCTCACCAGCTGACTTATATTTTTGGTTAGATGATTGGGTGAATTGACACCACGGTGCTTACGCGCAACACCGCATCATTGTGGCATACCTATCTTTATAAGATGCGATTCAATTTCCAATATCAACGAATCAAATTTGGGTCTACCTATGTTCATTTGCAGCCTATCCCAAATAATAAAGTCTTCATGTTTCCACCAATATTCCATGCATATAATGGGATGCAAAATGTGTAGTCATATCAAATTAAATCACCCATGGTATGTTCATATCAAATTAAATCAGTCAGGGTGGCTATGAAATGTATCAAGTATGCTTCCTTCCAAATTCTCAAAAACAGATCCCTTACTAGGACTATTAAAGACAGTAGACAAGGTTCAAAACATCGATACAAGCCAATATGCCGACATGGGTGCATTGGCTTGTATCAAGGCTTGTTTCTCCATTTTTTAGTTTTTTCCCAATGTGGTTCAAATGGGTTGGTTTAAGGCCTGTCTACCTCTTGAACCATGGTCTGACCTTAAACACCCACTGTAGGAACGTATTGGGAAGATCTCGATACGTATCAAAATTTTGAACCTTGCCAGTAAAGTTGTCTCCTTATATTTTTATTCTTTGTGTTGAGGCCTTAACCAGAAAATTAAATATGGAAGCATCAAGTGGAGAAAAGTTGATTGGTTGTAAAGCCTCTAGGGGGGGCCCCTCCATTCTCATCCTACATTTTGTTAATGATTGTATAATTTTTGCTAAATCATTAGTTAATGCTTGCCTTAAAATTAAAGATATTCTAGATAAATATTCTAAGGCATCAGGGCAACTTCCTAACTATCTAAAATTGGCCATAACTTTCTCCAAAATATCCCAAATAGACACCAAAAAAATGGTCACAATTCTTAAGATACCCATTAGGAGTAAAAACAAATCTTATCTTGGGGCTCCAATCATTGATGGTAGGGTATTGAAGGAGGTATTTAAATATCTCAATGAGAAAATGAAAAAAAAAAAAAACTTGCGGGATGGAAAAAGAAATACTCTATTCCTTGCAGGAAGACTCACTTTGATTAATTCTGTTGCCTTAATGGTTCCTCAATTTGTTATACAATCTTTCAAAATCCCAAGCAATGTCATTGATTAGTTGAAGAAATCTCAAAGAGACTTTATTTGGTCGAATTCAAAGAGTCGTTATAGAGTTTGCATGTCTAAAGCTTGGGGTGGTTTAGGAGTGAAAAACCTTAAATGGACTAACAAACCCTTTTAGCCAAGTTGGGGTGGAAGGTCATTACTTGCCATGAAAATCTTTGGGTGAAAGTGGTAAGAAGTAAATATCTTAATAATCAAAACTTTTGGGAGGCCAGTCCAAGGCAAGGTATCTCGTGGGCATGGAGAGGTGTCCTAGGTGCAAAACAACTTTATTATGAGGTGTACTTGTTTAGAAATTGGTGATGGAAGGTCAGTCAAATCTTGGAAAGATGCATAGGTTGGAAATGCCCTGATTATAGATGATGTTATCCCTGAATCTATAGTTAATATAGATATGCTAGTCAATACTGTGATTGACCAAGAAAAGAGAGTCTGGAAAGAAGACCTCATTAAATCTATTACTCCATTCCATAATTGGCAATGTTTTAAATCAATACTGATCTCTTTAATGGATATGGAAGACAAGATAGTCTAGAAGTTTACATCTAATGTCAAATTTTATGAGGAATACCGATTTAATGGGGGTGATATTTTAACAAATAATTCCCTGAAAAATTTCTGGAATCTTAATATTACACAAAAAAATTAGAGTTTTTTCTATTCCTCCTATTAAATGACAAGCTGCCCATAAAAAAGCAAGCTTATTGCTAGGGTTTTAACATGAGCATGTTTTATGGCCTTTGTGGGGAAGACGAAAATGTTGATCACCTATTTATTAAGTGTGATTTAACAAGGCAAGTTTGGAGGATTATGAATGAGTGTTTCTGGGTGCCTTCGACTGTGATACTTCTATTAATCATTGGTAGACCAGAATTTGTAATCATATTTACCTCCTAAAATGATCAATTTTACAGAGATAAACTTGCATGTATATGTTATGATCCATTTGTCCCACGTTGGTAGTATGGGATGCTAATGTGAGGTATCCCATATCGGTAGTATGGGATTTTGTTGTGGGGTATATATGTGTTTGGGTTTCCTCCCTCTAACAACTAACTCTTAGGGGTGAGTTCTCCTAAGTTACATATCAATATATTATGGTTCATTTGGAAGAATAGAAACGATAAATGTTTTAATGATACTTCTGCTACTCATCGATTTATTATGAACAAATATTTAGCGTATTGGAATGAGATTAAGAATAATTTGTTAAGTGAAGATCACATCAACAATAAGGTTTAGGGTTATATTGGATGATATACTCCTAAACCTAATTGCGTCAAGATTAACTTAGATGCTACTTGTAGAGATGATGGAAGATGTGCTATTGGAATCCAAGCACATCTTAGGCTGTGTTTGGAAACGTTCCCGCAATAATCATATTTATTCCTAAAATGATCAATTTTGCACAGAGAAACTTGCATGTATATGTTATGATTCACTTATCCCATGTTGGTAGTTTGGGATGCTAATGTGAGGTATCCCACATCGGTAGTATGGGATGTTGTTGTGGGGTATATATGTGCTCGGGTTCCAATAGCACATATTCGTTCCCGCAAATAAGTGTGAATGCAAATAAGTAGAGTGTGAATGCAAATATGCATTTGCGGGTTCCAATAGAACATCTTTATTTGATGCTACTCTTAAGCTGCATTTGGAAACGATGCAAATAAGTGTGAATGCAAATATGTAGAGTGTAAAATAGTTCATATAAATTGCAAAGTTGGATTAGTTTTGCACTGACAAATTTACCTTCTTACCAAATAGACTTTTAGCTGTAATGGATGTGAACACGAATTCTAATAAAGCATATGCTTTTTTTATTAAAAGCCCACTTGAATGCAAATTTACTTCTTTTTTATTGATGTACTTTACATCTTATTATCAATTTAAATATGCATTAGAAAATATGTTTTCTGTCATTTGTCAATGCATAAATATATTGTTGCCAAACACAGACAAAATTGAACTAAAGTATAAATTTACCCTGAACCGGGATTTACACTCCATTTGCATTGTTTCCAAATACAGCCTTAGGAAAAAAAAAGATAGAATGATGGAGAGTGAGAAATCTGGGACTATATACTCTTTTATTTCTCCCTCTCCTCTCTTTCTTTTCATTGAGATGGATTTTGGGTTCACCTACAACTCGGTGAATATTTTTGTCGTTTGAGAAGATAGAAAAACCATCAAAACGTTGACGGTAACTTGTTTATTTTTGGCAATAACCACAAATTTATTGGACTAAACGAAAAACGCAGTCATCAAAACGTTCCTGCAAATGCCCGACAGTGACCCAAGGAGCTACTCGAGGATGGGTTCCTATGTTCTTCCATTGAAGAACTTAAAGCAATCACCCGTTAAAGCTAAGTTCTGGTATGTGATGGCATGCCAAAAGGGTACATTCAAGTGACGAAAGGAAACTTTGTCAGAGCCTTGAACACATGTGGGAGAATCAAAATTATCGATACATTGCCGAATTAGTCAATGGAGACAATGCAATTAGAAAGAGTCATGGGAGATTTGGTTCTACTTCCTAATGGCTTTGTCATTATAGTCAATGGTGTTTCATTTGGGACTGTCAGGAGGGAACTGGGTGGGTTAATAAAATTAAAAGGAACTTTGGAATCCGCTCTTAAATCTTAACTCTGGTAAATTTAAGTTTCAAATGTAAAAGGAGATTTGACAGTTTTCTATTGGTGGGGACAGACGATGTGAGCTCCCTTATCTCATTGATGGATGGAATCTAGTTGTAAGAAGCTTCCTCTTTGCTCGTTTAGAAAAAGGATAATAATGTTGAAAAATGAGAAATTTTCAAATTAGTACCTTATACTTTGGGTCTAGTGTCACTTTGGTCCCCGAATTTTAAAACGTGATAATTTAGTATTCAAATTTTCAAAACATGTCGATCTAGTATCTACCATTAACTAGCCTGTTAATCAATCATTAAATGTCATTTGTAAAGATAAGAATATCTTTTGAGTGTCATCTAATTCTCTTTATCAAACATTCAAAAGTTGACAAAAAATGAATAATTCTAAATTCTTACTTCTTCTATTCAAGAAAGTTTGAGTCACAATGCCCATTAAGACTAATTTCAACTTTTTTAAATAAAAGAAATAAGGATTTAACATTGTTCATTTTTATAATATGTGGATAGTTGATAAAGAAAATTAGACCAGAGGATATTTATGTCTTTTCAAATATGATTTAACGATTGATCTTAGAGAGTAAAGTGGCACTAGGCCAAAAATTGCGTATTAATCGAGAATTTTCTTTTAAAAATAAATAAGATGGGTTATATTTGTCTTTTCGCGGATTGACACATGTTGCAGCCTCGCAGGATCTTGTAAGGGGGGAGAGGTATAAAAACCTAATGTAACATTCGAACACCGGAAAAGGAGAAGCTTACTGTCTGTTTCTTCATCTTCGTCTACGTCAGACATCAAAGCCGACGACTTCCCCGTTGTATTCGCCCGAAAGTCCCTGAATTTTTCTATCGTTGAACGTAAGTGAGTTCCTGTTCTTCGTTTTGCCTGCACTGGTCGATTTTGATATTTTAATATCTTAAATAAATCATTTCCTTCTACTTCGTCGAAATAATCGAGTAATTTCCAAATCTGTATTTTTTCTTATTAATTAGGGTACCTTCTATTTAATTTGATTATCTGTTACTAGCAATCCATGGGTTAAAAAAGAAAAAAAAATATTCTTTGTAGAACTTGGAGCTCCTAATTTGTATTTGATGGTTCTGTTTGCAAGAACCTGACATATAAGAGGGAGCAATGGCAACTTTTGAACTGTACCGGAGGTCGACTATCGGCATGTGTTTGACGGAGACATTGGACGAGATGGTCTCGAATGGGACTCTCAGTCCGGAGCTGGCGATACAAGTTCTCGTTCAATTTGACAAGGTAGGATCAGGTGGAGTTTTGATTGCTGTGGAACTGTACTTTTCTTGTTTTCGTAGTTCTTCTAAGTCCTCAGACATTGACAATTGGTTTCGTTTTGCTTGTTTTTCTTTTGTGAATCCCAGTCGATGACAGAAGCCCTGGAAACTCAAGTGAAGAGCAAGGTTTCTTTAAAGGTAAACAATGCTTTAACCAACATAAAAAAGTGATTTATTAATGTATGAGATGGAGTAGATGGCCAAGCTCACTATAGGAGAGAGAGGGAACAATAAACATGCAGACAAGGTTGACTGCTGACATACCAAGAAAAGAGTCCAAGCTAGTTTACATATTCACTGCCTGGCCAGGTGCCCCTTGAAGAAACTCATTTCTGCTTACCCCTTTCCTTGCTAGAGAGAGAGAGTCAGCTAGCTGTCGGCCGATCTAGGAACCAATCTGAATGAACGGTTAAAGTTAGCAGCCATGCCTTAGTGCCCTTTATTAGATTTCTGTAAGTCCACGCCCCTACATGAGCCTTCCTATTTCTGCCATATAAAGGGACCCTGTGGCTGATCAAAACCATCCATGATCCATCATATAACTAAACCACTTTAATTGGCTACATTTTCAATCCCATAGTACATGTTAATTGTATGCCGTACCTTGTATTGGTGGCTTTCACAATTAATAATAGCCATTCAAAGTTTTAACTGGTAATATGAAATTCATCTGCAAAAGAAGGTTTATTTTGCACAGGTGGAAAATTTCTTTTTTTTTCCAGAAATATTTTCCATAAATAAAGGGTCGAGAGGGACTAGGAGACTCCTTATGAGCTCCAAAGTAATTTGCCACATGGAAGATTCCTAACCCTAAGTTGCTTTGCATGCATCTTTCTGTAAGCTGTCCAGGAAGACTCCTGAAATATTTCTTTCTCACGGAAGACTCCTTTCAGAAGTTTGTCCATTGGTTCCTCACCTGTACATGATCTCATGCCACAAGTGTTTATCTTGATGGGTAAATTGCTTATACCTCCCCTGTGTTTTGCATATGGCAAAAAACTCCCCTGAGGTTCAGGTCACCATGGCATCTACACCCCTTCATTAGGTTGATTCTAGAACCAAAAATGATGATGTCTTGCTCTCAAAATTTTAAAATACCCAATTGCCCTTGTATAACAAGGTTGGATTATTTAATGACCCAAATACCCCCAAAGGACTGTTTCCATCCTTTTTTGAACTCTGGCTTTATAAGCAGGGAATTAAGATTTTAGCAATTGGTTTAAGCAAGTGATGTTGCCACTTGCCAGGTTGACCAAGCCCCTAATCAACTCTGCTTGTGGAGTTTTTCACATTGAACTTTGAACCAAATCACATTGTTAGTACAAATCAGAGAAATAAATAAATAAATAGATAGATAAAATGTTAAACAGATTTGCTTTCTGGGATGTAACAATGATTGTGTTGTGAATATGTGAGAATACAAATCAGGAACACCATTTAGATTTGCTTCAATGTAAAACTGCTATGGTGTATCAGGGATGTTGCTTTGGTTATATTTCCATTATTGTCCCTCCTTAGCCATTGTATCCTAATTTCTCTATAATCATTATATATTTCTATAATCTATCTTCTATAATAAAAATGAGGATGGTAACCATGTTTCGTCAAAAAGCCTGATTACACTTCCCTTTTTATAGGGATGCAAATGGATCAGATCAGATTCAAATAAGGGTATATCCAAATCCTATCTGATAAATTATAGGTCCAATCCAATCTGATCGGATCTCACAAATATTGATTTAGATTCAAATTCGATAAGGATGTTGGATATTTGAATCTGATCCAATCATATTTATTTTTTAAATAATAAATTATTAAAAAAGAAAATATAACAGTTTAAATAAAGAAAAACAAAAAAATGAAAGTATTTTCAACTATTTTCATCATATATACATGTTTTGTATACAAAATAAATAATATAAAAAATTTATAAAAATATAATATAAATAACATATTGGATCCTTTTGAATCGGATAGGGGTGATCTGAATCTGATTCAGTTGTTAATCAAATCCAATTATCCAATCCGATTAAATAGGATCAGACTTTGGATCGGATTGAATCATGTTCCCTTTTTACCCTCTATGTTTTTTGTTATTCCAATATTTATTTAACCTATCATTAAATGGGATGTACACTATGAAAAAAAGTTTTTTTTCCAATAAAAATGAATACTAACCGTTAACATACTAACTATCAACCAAAGTTGCATCCTTTCATTTTTACCTTCATCATTTTTTGCTATTCCAATGTTTGATCTCTCATAAATGTGTCATGTTCCCTTTTTACCCTCTATGTTTTTTGTTATTCCAATATTTATTTAACCTATCATTAAATGGGATGTACACTATGAAAAAAAGTTTTTTTTCCAATAAAAATGAATACTAACCGTTAACATACTAACTATCAACCAAAGTTGCATCCTTTCATTTTTACCTTCATCATTTTTTGCTATTCCAATGTTTGATCTCTCATAAATGTGAAACTATAAAGTGGGTTATACCCAACACAGCCTGATCACTGTAGCAGTTGGGCTAGCCCATACCCCCCAAGTTGTGTTGGGCTTGGGTTTTGAGGCTTGTGTGTCAGCACAATATAGAACAAAAAAGTGGACCATGCTGGTATAGGCCCGCAGCCCATCACGGAATAGGCCTATATATATACACAATTTTATTGTACTATTTTATTCAAGTTATATTGTAATTTCTTTAATTTCATATATAAACAATTGTATACATCAAAATTCATATAGAATAAAATTTTAAGATTTTTTAATTTCTTGTCTATTTTGTTAATTTATTTAACTTTTCATTATTTTTTTTCAATTTTTTAATAAAAAATCATGCCTCTCACACCTCGGCCTATGGCTGAGCTCGCTTGGGCTTGTGTTGCAGGCCTAACCTTTGAAGAGTTTCAAGCCAGGTAGGGCACGACCCACTGACGATCACATGTCAGCATGGCATGACCTGTTAAAGCATAGACAACCCGCAAAATCATGTCATGTCAGCACTACACAACCCACTTTATATTTTATGATGAAGTAGTGAGAAGTGCAAATTAGAGACAATACAAAAAAGGGCACAAAAGATAGTAGATAACACACATACAAACAAATGAGAAAGTAATAACAAAGAAATAATCATAAATTGTCAATCAATCGAACCACTTTCTAATGACCTAAATCCAAGTTCTTCCCAACTTGGGGTCAAGTCGATATTTTCATCCCAAATTGTATTTTCTTTATCATACTTGATTTGCATTAATGAATTTAGTTATAGTTTTAACTATTAATTTTTTTCATTCATTTTCACTCGTGCATCGCACGGGCTTATCCATTAATATTTAACTAAATACAGGTCTGATAACATGATATCAGAGCCTGATTGATCGAGTTTCCTGACTGCACCAGTGAAGGACACCTGGAACTGGTTCGGCTGAGGTTTTCTACTAATATGAGAAGAAAGGAAGGGGAAGAACCTAAAAGAACCGGTCACCCAGAAGGTTAGGAAGCTTCCATGCCTCAAGTTGCACTGTTGGTTGATTTTTTGATGGTGTTTTAGACTCCCTTTACTCAGCAGTTTGAAGAGGGACTGTGAATGTGAAGTTCAGTTGATCGTTGTTTGTGTTTGATTTGTTTGGTGGGTTGTTTTCTGTGATCCATGAGATTGGTTGACTCATAGAAGAAGTTCTTATGTTGATGTTCCAGGTTTAGGGGTTGCGGCTATGCTGTTGAAGTTTCAGAACCAATAGTTAAGTCAGTTGAGTATGAGTCAGGAAGGTGTTTGTCTTGGGAGAGTATTGCAGAAATAACTGATGGCAGCTTTTGGGAGTGAATCCAAAACAAGTGTGATGCAACCTGATTTCATGGATGTACAGATGACGTTGGTTAAACTTAACGGTACCAATTATGTACCATGGGTAGAGTTGGTTGAGATAAATTTGACGGCCAAAGGAAAGTTAAAATATATTAAAGAAAATAAAGTAGACCGAGGAGTTGTAGAGTATAATGATTGGATTTAGGAGAATGACCAAATTATGGCATGTCTTTGGAGCAATATGGAACCTCATTTTGTGTGAACTTGATGTTCTTTGATACTATGAAAGAAATTTGGGAACATGCTAAGCAGTTGTATTTGGGAAAAGAAAATGTAACTAGAATCTATCAATTGTATCAGGAATATTTTCAACTACAGCAAGGTGATAGGAACGTGGAAGAGTAGTTGGAAAATTGATTTATTTAACCATCACAAGACTAGACATTTCCTTCAGTGTTGGATTATTGAGCCAATTCATGTAGAACCCAAGCACAATCCATTGGGAAGGTATCGTTAGAGTTCTATGCTATTTGAAGGGTGCTCTAGGTAAAGGATTGTTGTATAAGAGAGGGAGAGATTTTTCCTTGGAAGGATACACAGATGCTGATTGGGTAGGGTCAGTTACTGATAGGAAATCAACAATTGGTTACTACACGTTTTTGGCAGGGAATTGATTACTTGGAAAAACAAGAAGTAGAATGTGGTGGCTTGGAGTAGTGCTGAGGCCGAGTACAAAGCCATGGCCCACACTACATGTGAGTTGGTGTGGTTGAAACAACTGTTACAAGAGATGGGAATATCAGTCACAACCCCCATGAAGCTATTTTGTGACAACTAAGAATCCATTCATATCTCCTCCAATCCAGTGTATCATGAGAGTACCAAACACATAGAGGTGGATTGTCACTTTGTTAGAGAAAAGGTGGTTAGTGGAGAAATCATTACCCCATATGTGAAGTCTGAAGATCAACTAGCTGATTTGTTTACCAAAGGCTTGAGTGGTGCTCGGATGAAATACATTTGTAACAAGTTGGAGCTGTATGATATATATGCTCTAACTTGAGGGGGAGTGTTAAAATACAGTTTTTGTTTTAGGGTTATTTTAGGCTTTTCCCTTCTTTTAAGTATGTTTTTTTTTTCTCTGTTCTTTAGTCTCTATATACAGGGGTAATATTGTAGTTCTACTTTTCATTATGAATTAAACATACAGGGGCAGCAGCTCTCTCCCTCGACAGAGACTGTTTTGCCCTATTCTCTTCTTTTTCTTCTTCTTCGTCTTCTTCTTCTTCTCAATCTAGACTCATACCAGAACCTTTTTCCTTTATTTATTTAACTAAATACAGGCCTGATAACAACTAAGATGGTTGTCACAAAGTTTAGGGTGCTTCTACTGTCAATGAGGACTGTCACATGGTGGCCCTTCACTCACCCCAATACCTTCATGATCTGAAGTGATGAAAGTTCAGCAAGTGCCTAGAGGGAAGTTTCAGGTTAAATAGGTTGGATTTCGATCCATTTCTGCCTTTCTTGCTCTACCGTTCTTGGCAACCCACCATTACCTTCATACTCTTCCTCATCAATTTGAAGGACAAAGGCCTACCGTGTCTTACATCGGTGGCCAGGTCTGAATCTTTCCTCACAGTAGAGCCGACTAGTAGAGACCTTTGTCTTTGCAGGTTTGCATCTCGACCCATGACAACTTCTTGAAGGGTACGAGAGGACCTGAGCCCATGGTAGCTGGCTTCCCCCCCAATATGCTTCCCTTTTTATTGGGCCCTGACCCTGTTCCTGGCCCATTTTGCCTTGAGAGGTTTGGCAGTGTCGCTATTGGAATCCATGGCCGGTTAATTCTTCTTGCCCAAGTCATCTTCTCCTCTTGAATTCGAGCAAGAGTTGCCACATCTAGGATAGTTCCTGGTTGCATCGCCTTGACCTCCAGCTGTAACTCCTTGAGACCACCCACAGATGCCCCTACCAGAGCTTGCTCCAGCCACCTTTGAACCCTGATCGCCAGCCATTTGAACTTCATCTGGTAATCCCTCACACTTCCCATTTTATTCATTTTGCCAAGCTCTCATCATAATCTTCATAACCTGAAGCTCCAAATCATACACACAGAGCATTGGTGAAGCCCATCCAAGATAGCCAAGGGTGTCCTTGCTGGTACCATTTGATTCCAAAGGATTGCTTCCCCTTCTAGGTGATCCACTGCAAGAGCAATTCGATCTTGGCCTTGCATTTCGTTGTACTCAAAGAATCTCTCAGCCCTATAGATCCAAGAAATCAGATTGCCTCCAAAAAAACTGTGAAGATCAGCTTGGTGTTCTTGTTAGTGCCTAAACTTCCCTGTTGACTACTCCCTCGAGTGCCCCCTTCTTGATTGACCTTCCTGCCCACTTTTGGAGTGCCCTGTTCCAATCGCCATAGGATGACTGTCAGCATCTCTTTGATTTCCCACACGTCGTCAGAGATGCAGTGAAGCTCAACCTCTGCCTGATCAACCCTCACCTCCATGGATGTAGTTTGAGTATTTGGCATCTAGGCTCTGATACTAAAATGTTCGGATCTACCTAACACGGTTTTTTTGAGGGAACCATCCTCCAGAGAGAGAGAGAGAGAGAGAGATCGTTACAATTCAGTTATAGATTCTGTTACAGTATAATGGCATCATCCTAACCACTTGGTGTACCCAAATGCTGAGTACTTCTCTTATACACCTGATGTACAGGTCGGCTGTTCCCATATAGAGGTTCCTTGAGATCCCATGTTCTAACAGGAGGAGTTCTTGTTTTTCTTGATTCTTTTTGATGAAAGATGTATTGTATTAAAAAGAATGAGGATGCATGACACTAGTTGAAAGGAGGGCCTGCCTAGACCCTCACCTCCATGGTGTTCATGAGGTGCACACCTCAGAAGCATAAATGCTTCCAGAATGCACCTCAGGGTGTTTTGGTGGACAGAGAAGTATACTGCTTGCTTTTAATACAACACCTTATCTTTTTCAATAGGTAGTACAATAAACATATCTTCATTTAGAATAGGTAGTACAATAAATCATGCAACTGTAAGGCCATGTATTAAGCAGAATGGTTACATGGTTTGTGGTACTATCATGTTTTTATGGTTTGTATCAGCTTAAAATTTGGTAGTTCATAAATTTAATGTGATGCTTCCATTTAGGTTATATTAATCGAATTAAAATATTTACAGTATAACTATAGCTTGAATGGTATTTTATGACAAACCTTTAGCTTAATTGTTCTCATTCACAATTGACACTTATCTGGGACCATATTTGCAATTTCTTTGATTGTAAGCAATCAAGAGAGAGAGAGAGAGAGAGAGTGGTAGCTCCTGTTCTGGTTTGATAAATTCATCCATTTTTAGTGTTTATCCACCTTCCTGCCAGTCCATCTAGAAAGGTTCACATTGTCAAATAAGTTAGGAGGCTTATTTCCTTTGGGGGTTAATTGCATGGGATATTGCTAGAGAATGAAAGAAATGTTTGGGATGCACTTGTTTACCGAGTCAGCAAGACATAAGAGGGAAAGAGGCCTCATGGTCCTAATGATTCTTGAGCTGGTTGGTAAGGCCATGTTCTAAGTTTTGATTGCATCTGCATCTCCATCAAGCCACTGAAATGATGAAGGATCCTTCCATGTCACAATGTACACTCTCCAATCCTAACCAGACCTGGATTACCTGGAGATTTTGAATTAATGAAGAGACTAACCTTGCTATTGGTGATGTTTAACTGGATATACTAATTAACTTTACCTATTCCAGTTGTATTGGCATTGTGGCATTGACCTTTGCCATTGATTTATGGGCTTTTTGAGACTTTCATCCCCCCCCCCCCCACGGGGCTTCTTATTGGCATTGACAGCAGCAGTGGTGGTGGTAGTAACTAGACCTGTTTACGGGCTGGGCTTTGGGCTTGTGTTTCGGGTCAAAGCCCATTCAACAGGAAATACAAGGGGGTATTGGTGGGGCTTCAAAGCAGGAAATACAAGTGGTTTGGGAATTTGGGCATTTTCAGGAGGTAGGCAGACCTAAGACCGATCCCCTGGCCAATTTTGAAAAAGAAAAAAAAACTAAAAAAAAAGGATGTTTTGTTGTATTGAAAAACCTGATATGCCTGTATTTAAACCTTGGCAGCAGCAGCAGCAACAACAACAATAATAACAATAGTGTAGTAATAGTAATAAATCAACATGACTTATTCCCTACTAATTGAATTTGTCTCAAGGCAGCATCTTTGCATGGAATTTGCAATCATTACAGGATTTTTTTCCCTAAAAAATTGCTATATTTACTCTAAATTATACTTCTTTAGATGAGTTTATGATTGTATTCTTCAGAGTTGCACCATCCTTTCAAGCATTGGTCCCTGTTGGATGGATACTATACACCGGCAACTGAACTGCCTATTCACATGTGTTTTCTGTGTTCTACAGGGACATTTGCATACCTACAGATTCTGTGACAACGTGTGGACCTTCATCCTACAGGATGCAACATTCAAGAGTGAGGAATGCCAGGAGAATGTTGGTAGGGTGAAAATAGTTGCATGTGACTCAAAGCTGCTCTCGCAATGAGATGCCATGCTCCCTCGTTAAATTCTCCGCACAGAGGGCTTGAGAAATGGTCCTAGGGAGGAGAGTGGAAGGTACCCCTCTCCCCCCCAAACCTCACACACACGCTCACTTGCAGGGAGACCTTTACAGAACAATTGAGATTACAAAAGAAGAGACATCACCTTTGCATTGAGAAGAACAATTATTACTGATGAGATTTACTAATTATGTTGCTAGCAAAAAGGTTTCTCCTTTTTTCTGCTGATGGATTGTTGCAATTGCGAACCATTGTGGAGAAATCAGCGAAGGTGTGTTATTCGGAAGTAGGAATAAGCATCTCTTAATTAAATTTTCCAACTAACCTAAAAGTTTGGAAAATAAGCACTTATTTAGATTTGGGAAATAAGCCCAAATAAGTGCTTATTCCTGAGAATAAATACCCAAAATTTGGACTTATTTTTAAGCGAAGTGTTTATTTTCACTCTGGGTCTGTCTTCGGCGACCATGTCATTTTGAAAATACCTATAGTAACCGTTATTTGAAATAAGTGATTTCACCAAAGCTAAGCACTTATTTTTCAAAAGAGTCCAGTCGCCATGAAACCACTTACACAATCACTCGATGTTCTTTCCAAGCAGCTCCTTAATATCATCGTGCCCATGTTATCCCGTACTCTATTTTCCTGTCCAGAGTTTGTAGATGAGCATAGAATGATTCCTGAAATCCCAAGTTTTTGTACTATCGCCCAAGTTAAACACCTCGTAGTTTAATCAACTCTCAATAATACTGACCGCCGAGTTCTAACTTCTAAGCCCCTCGCTCATGGTCAATGAGCTATTCAGTCTTCATTTTTCTGGCTACTATATTCTTCGGTCTTTTCATTGCCTTTCTGTTAAAATGAGAACTAATATGTTATTTGTTAGCCGCTAAAATCTTGGGGCAATATCAATTCAACCCTATAATGCTTCTATTTCTTTAACCTATAACCTGTACTTTTTTTCAATGATTCTCCTCCAATTGTCCAACTTCAACTATGACAGTAAAATTATCTGTTTCACAAAATTTGTTAATAGCTTTTTCTCATCTTTTTGATTTTCTATCAATCAATCATGGCTTTACTTGTATATTATATTAGGGAATCATCTATGGGTTATTGATAGACTAGTTTTACTTCTACGTGTTTAACCATGGTTTTTAAAAACGAACCGTCCGGCTACCAGTTCGAATGGTTCGAACGGTTCAAACAGTTTGAATGGTTCGAACGGTTAACTGGCTGGTTCAGTGATTTGTTGACTAAAATCAACGGTTTTAGAGGAAAAATCAATTTTGGAGGAAAACGAAACTGGTTAGGTAACCGATTTCCAGTTTTTCCAGTCCCACTGTCCGGTCCGATCCGATTTTGAAAACACTGTATTTAATATGACAATCTCTCTTTCTCTCTTATTCCCTATTTCTGTCATTCGTGCCGAATGCTGACACCTGACGACGATAATTCCACATCAAAGTTAAGTCGAATACGGAGGATAGTTTTTCTGCAACACGCCAAAGCTTGCAGACTGGATCATGGATTCCATGAAGATAACTTGACGTCTTGACCGAGTGGGAAAACAAAAATATAACTTTGGCGACGACTTGATACGAGGACTACGATCCATCTCTTTTCACTCTGATTGTGACACTTGAGCGTTTTAAGGCTGTGTTTGGTTGCAATGATGCAAAATCATGGCAGTGCAAATGATTTGGATTTAACTTCTGACCCATTTTTGTTTCAAATTTTATTATATTTTGTTTGGTTATAAATATAAATAAAGTAAATTAAGACATGAAGTAGAATAAATTAACATCCAAAATAAAATTAAACAAGAATTTACATTTTTTACATTTGCACTCCCATGCATTTGTACTAGTGCAAATAAAATTGCACTGCAATCAAATACAATCTAAGGTTCAATTTGGAAGGAGTACAAATACAAATATGTAAAGTGCAAAACCTTGTATTTTGTATTGCTTTGTATATATTTGTATTTGTACAGCAAGAGACCTTACCAATCAGCTGGTTGGCACCTTAGTAGAGATATTATGTTATGCAATCAATCAAGGAAGCCCGGGCTCGATGCATGGGAGGCCAATGCTCCTCTTATTCTAACAATCAGACCGATCTCTTTATCCTCTTATTTCTCACACATTTAATTATTTATTTTAAATTAAATTATTCAAAATGAAAAATCTCTCTCTCAAATAAAACAAAAATAAAAAATTCTATGATAAAATTTATTATTATTTTCTCTAATAACATCATTTTACTCTCTTTCTACTATAACTCCTCTCCCCTATGAAATCTCTTTACTCTTCTCTTTAACTTTTTGGTTCTCTCTAATAAATTGGGGGATGGATAGAGTCAAGTTAAGGAGACTGGATCTACTCTTCACAAAGCACATCTCACACCAACCTCACAAGCACATCCCACCATGTATCAGAACATCTCCCGCGCTTATGTGTTATTATTCATGGGAGATGTTCCCAATAATACAAGGGTTGATGTGCTTGTGAGGTCGGTGTGAGGTGCGTTGTGTGAGGAGTAGATCCCAATTCTAAGTTAAGGGCTAAACCAATGCCAAATCTAAATATAGACCTTAATTTGGATCCATATCTATGTCAAATATAAGGTATCATTTGGCAATTCTTTTTAGAAAGATCTCCAGTAGCCTACATGATCAAAAGACATATTAAGCTTTTAGGGTTTTGTCTTTAAAGACAAAGGTTGTTTGGTCTACTGGACTTTTAAAAACACGTTTAGAGGTTATCTATCTTGCAAAAAGACCAGAAAGCTTCATGAAATTTGGTGTTTTTGGTCTTTTTGAGTCTTTTCGCACACACCTCTTCTCATCTTTTCAGCTATTGATTATCAAATGGAAAAAGACCGATTTTCTATCTTTGGAGCTTGTAGCTCAAAAAACCACATGGAAAGACTTACCAATGACACTTAAATTTGCCAACTTAAACCTAACCAAATTTCTATTTAATGTCCAAGCATGTGTGAACTTACTTGTTTGTTTTTCTAGAAATGCAAAAAAAAAAAAAAAAAAAAGCTCTGCAGATTCTTTTTTTATTCTCTTTATTAAACCAAGACACCACAAAATGCGTCTTCAAAAGTACTTGTTGTTCCACTTTCCAAACCATATTTGAAAATTAATAGGATATTGGACAACATGGTTATTTTTATTTTCACAAAACAAAACCAACCATGTTGTCAAACACACCCTAATTGTGTATGAACAACCATGCAAAAGAAAATAAGTGAGACTCCAATCTAATATACCCGGCCCGATCGATTAATATGATATTGAGCTTGCTTACTCCAATATCATTACATAGGCTTGAGCCTTTAGCAAGGCAATGAAGAAGAAAAATGAAAACAATAGTAAACAAGGGTAGCATATGCATATGCATAAACTGGGGGTGTATTCTCATTTTGATCACATGCTTGAAACACTCCCCACATCGTGCAAATGCCAGTGAAAATTGTTTCTTCGTACAGAACACTGCATTTTGTGGTATTCAAAAAAAGGCCAATTTCCAATTTTTTAATCTTGACCAATTATGGTCAACCCTATCTGAATTCAAAAACAGATTTTCATTTTGAAACCATCAGAAAAGCAAATCTGACCCACATCTAGGAAATCCCATTAATTGGGTACGATAATCAAGACCATTAACTTTGTAGAGCAATGGTATTATCATTGACACTTGGTCAATGGGCTACTATTATTAGCCTGTATTTTTGGGGTAGCGTCACATTTTAGTATATTGAATTTTCAGAAATATACACTTTGGGGGTGTTCTTTTTTTGGATTTTGAGAGATGGGAAAGTTGGTCAATGAGAAAGTTTATGTGAGGATTAGGGAAAGTTTATTTTTCTGGGTATCATTTACCCGGGTAAGTGATACCTATCTCGTAGGTGGGTAAATAACTTTCCCACTTTGGAGAAAGTTACCAACATTTGAAAGGGACAAAAATATCCCTTATAATAATGGACTTTTATGGATAAAAATGATCATTGCCTTTTTTACATGAGAAATAAAAGAACATGGCTAAATACACTTACCCGGGTAAATCTTTCTTGGAAAACAATTACCTAGGTAAGTGCATTTACCTGGGTAAGTAACTTACCGAAATGCGAACGGGGCCTTAAGTTTAACTCTGTTAAACTGCTGCTATAGAGGGTGGAAATTATTAAAATGCCCATGTTCAGAATCCACTTTTTTATTTTTCCTCTTCTTCTACCTTCGGACGCAATCCAGTGGTGGTAGAAAAGAAATGTTACTATTTGTGTCTTAAGGCAGAAGAAAATGAATGAAAGAATCTAAACATGGGTGTCTTTGTAATTCTATTCTTATTTTAAGGTCAATTTTGATAAAATTGAACTTAAGTGTATATTTATGAATGTTAGAGTACTAAATTGTTGCGGTTGAAAGTTTAGGCCCTCAACTCTCACTACCCTCAAAGTATAGGGTATTTATCTATAATGTACCCAAAAAGAATGACATGTTTGTAGGTGAAAGTATAAGATACCTATTTGTAATTTACCCAAAAAAGACAATGACATGTTTGTAGGTCAAAGTATAGGGTACCTATTTGTAATTTACTCAAAAAAGACAATGGCATGTTTGTGGGTCAAGATGAGTTGGTTTGAATCGAGACATAGTTGAGCTAACTAATGTTTATTTTGTGTTTGGCCCAGCCCATCTATTTCCCAGCACACTGTATTTATCCACAGTCCACATGCATGATTTTTGGAAAGGCCCATTTCTAGTTTTCTATAGAAGTTGTTCGGAGGTCATAACTTTGCACTTCGATGTCTAATAGGGGTGATGTTTTTTTTTTTTTTTTTGGATAACTTTTTGAGATCTATAAAGGAGCCATAGACATATTGCCCCGCTATTTTTGCGAAAAACCCCTTTTGGCCACAAATTGCAATTTTTAATATTTTTATAAATAAAAATAAAAAACATAAATAAAATATAAAAACGCATATAACAAATCTAAAACATAAGTATACATTATTTGTTGATAAAATATATATTTATACACATACACACACATATATACATTAAATACATGTGGGGCAGTCTAACCCGTTTGACCCCAACGGTCAAACCGATGATCTGTGTGACCCAAAGGCAAAAACGGTTCAGCCGCTGGGTCAGTTTTTAAAACATTACTTATTGCTGGTTTTCTTAATGGAAGTAGCAAATGATGTTTATGAACCCTAACGTCCATTAACCACAAAGGTAACACAATGAAGAATATGTTTCAGGAATTC